TTCTGGGCTGCCAGCACACATTGCTGGCTCATGTCCAGCTTTTCATCCACCAGCACCTCCAAGCCCCTCTCAGCAGCACTGCTCTTGATCCTTTCTTTCCCCAGCCCATATTGATACTGGGGGTTACCCCGACCCAGGTGCAGGACCTTGCACTTGGCCTTGTTGAACCTCATGAGGTTCACACAGGCCCACCTCTCCAGCTTGTCCAGGTCTCTCTGGATGACATCCCGTCCTTCTGGCGTGTCAACTGCACCACTCAGCTTCGTGTCATCCGCAAACTTGCTGAGGGTGCACTCGATCTCGCTGTCTAAGTCATTGATGAAAACGTTAAACAGCACCGGTCCCAGTACAGACCCCTGAGGGACACCACTCGTCACCGGTCTCCATCTGGACATCGAGCCGTTGACCACTACCCTCTGGATACAACCATCCAGCCAGTTCCTTATCCACCGAACAGTCCACCCATCAAATCCATAGCTCTCCAATGTAGAGAGAAGGATGTTGTGGGTTTAAGTTAAGAACCGAAAAAAATGCCAGTGCAGAGTCTTAACTTCATTTTCCTATTAAAAAAGACCACAAGCAACAACTTCTTTCTTTGTTTATTACGGGTACTTATCCAAGGCAATAGAAAAGTTACTGAACTTCATGCTTGTAAATCTTCAGGGTCCCTGCTGGTGCTCAGCTGCTGCAGTATTTTAACATATATTCCGTGATGTTTAGTGGCAAGGTATAATCCTGTCAGAACCTGTATAAGTATACCCAAACTCATCTTTCTAAAGACAGGCTGAGCAGTTGTGAGCCAGTAGCGCAATACATTTTCTTTCCCTGGCAAGGGAGATGATGAATACCTAAACAACATAAACAACGGTAGAAACTTACTTTTTTTCCCCCATCCAGTTTAAGCATCAAGATTTAAAATTAAAGGCATTACGAATATTTAGGTAGGTATTAATTCTCTCCTTTCTCTCCTAAGTTAAATTCACCTGGTGGTAACTGGGTATTGGGCTCCGTCCCTGGATAAATGCGATAAACCATCCTGAGCATGCACTGCTGTCTCATCACTCTCACCATCCCCTCACAGAATCACAGAGTGGCAAGGGTTGGAAAGGACCTCGAGAGATCATCCAGTCCAACTCTCCTGCTCAAGCAGGGTCACCCAGAGCAGGTTGCACAGGACATCATCCAGGCAGGGTTTAAGTATCTCCAGAGAAGGAGACTCCACAGCCCCCCTGGGCAGCCAGTTCTACTGCTCTGTCACCCTCAAAGAACCTGAGGAAGAACTTCTTTACAACTGAAACCTCTTTCAGCTTCAGTTTGTGCCCATTGCCCCTTGTCTTGTCGCTGGCCACCACTGAGAAGAGTCTGGCTCTGTCCTCGTGACATCCACCCTTAAGATATTTGTATGTGTTGATGAGATCCCCTCTCAGTCTTCTCTTCTGCAGGCTAAACAAGCCCAGCTCCCTCAGCCTCTCCTTACAGGGGAGATGCTCCAGTCCCCTCATCATCTTCGTCTGCTTCGTAGCCCTTTGTAGCCTTCACTGTGCTCTGACCCGGGTCCACAGAATTACACCCACCGGGGAGTTTGGCTGCTGGGCGCTGCCCAGGATTGGTAGCAGGCAAACACCGCTACGCAGCAACCTCCACCGCTCGGCAGGATGGCGGCCACAATCTCACATACCCAGGCACATCATGGGTAGCTTGTAAGGTCCCAGCTAAGGAGAA